AAATCTTTGCTTAGTGGTAGAAATCTCATACTTGCTTCAGCAGATGCTTAGATTGCTGATGGGGAGCAGGGTTCTTGTCTCTCTCTAATCAATTGTCAAATTCCAATTATTCCAAACAGTGGGATGATCCTGAGAAAGTGGGATGTTTTCCCTCTGTGTGAGGGCACACACACCTGCATGAACATGCAGAGAAGTATTCAATTCACTAAAACCAGCTGTTGTGAACAAACCACCCACATACAGCAACTACAGATTATTCAACAGCAGAAACATTGGTCTCCACTGTTGATACCCCAGATTGCTTTCTGAACTCCTTTTCCACCTTCTCCAGCCTTACTCACTTTTTCAAGAGGGCATTTGGGATTCTCACTGATGTCTAAGACCTGCTATCTGAGGAAGTTAACCAGGGCCCATCTGGGAGCATCTGCTCTTGTTTTCCTGTTTTTTGATGGGTCAACTGGTCTCTTAGGCCCTCCTGGTGAAGCACTCAGAGCCAGTTTTGCAAACATACAGTGAAGAAGCCTTGATGCAGCTCAGGGAGGTGGTCTTGTGTTCACTTGAATGACAGGTACCAGTGAGAGACAGAAGAGACCATGGTTTTTCTCTCTGAGATGAGCATAACAGTCATTAGAAGAGACAAGGCTTTTGACTCCCAAGTTTTGTCTTCAAGTAATTTAGACCCTGTGTCATCCTTGGGTACACTTTGTTGTTGTTGGGTTTGTCTGCTTTAAAGGCTTAATTCAGATGCCCTCAAGCAGCTGTGGCCAAAGGCAGTGAGGCCTGGGAGCTTTTTTCCATCAGAAGGTGGTATTTAGCCCAGGGTTTTGTATTGTGGCACAGCAGGTACCTAGTAATGCTGGGCTTCCAGGAACAGGGGAGTCTGCCTCCCCCACTGACTGCAGCAGGCTCCTATCAGGTATTAGGAGAACTAGGAAAAAGACCTCACCATCGGAGAGCTGTGAAGAACAGATTGCAGAAGCAGGAGAGCACTAAATGCGGTTTTGTTACTGGCATGAAAAAGGCTGTAATAGCGAGGAAATTAAAAACTAATCTTGCCAAAGTGTAATTCACCCTCAAATGAAAGATTCACCTGTCAGAGGAAAGGAAGTCTTTATCTACCACCTATATTTGAGGACTGTTCCAAAAAACCCAACTAAAACCCAGCTGCTTTCAAACAAGGGCTTGAATTTGCTGTAATCATGTACAGAGTATCCCACTGTTCATGGATCTGCCTAGCACTGCTGTAAATTCAAGGTGCGATTGCATCAGCTAATATTATTCCTGCCGTTCTCTTTGGTTCGAAATATCACCCGACTCATTTGGGTTAGATACGAGATGTAATTGCCTGGAAACCAGCACACAATTCCAGAAGGGTGCCTTGCTCATTATATTCACCTTGTCCAATAAAACATCCATGCTATTCCTGTGTTGGATCATGTCATCAGGACACTGCAGAGGGTGGGCTTTCATTTTCCCTTCCTGTGAACTCCTTGAGAGGTACCAGGGGCTTTCTACGGAACTCAGGTCATTATGGATTTTCTAAGCCATGGGAAGCTCCGAGAAGTAAAAGCTCTTCAGGGTTTCCACACTCGCCAGGCACAGATGCACCTCTCAGCAATTGCAGGAGGTGTGTTGAAAAGTAACATGGATGGTCAGGCCTTCTTCTGTGAGTATATTAAAATACTGATGGTAAATCTAGCACCCAATGGGTGCTGGGAACCCCAGGGACATTGCAGACTTGCAGAGAAAATTTCAGCTTCCTGATGACCTACAGGAATTTTGCCTGCTTCTGGCCTGCCTTTCTGATGTCCTGACTACCAGTGACTATTTCTTCTCATGTGCTCTCTTTTCCCAGGTGAGCGTGATCCTGTCCCAGCATCTTGCCAAACACTTGCCAGACTCCTCTGCTGCTGGAAGCATGGAGCAGTATATACAGCCATCCTCACATGGCTGCAAAGGCAAACCAGGGCTCTCCCTCCCTGCAGACTGAAAGAGGAGTAGGTATGAGCTGCTAGAGGGAACTAAAAACAGAGAGTCTCTTCTCCAAGTAGACCAGGGATCCTGGGAAGAAAATGCCACATTCTTCATCGGCATGTAAGAGAGTAGGCTGGGAGAACGGGAAGGAAGAACAGCTACTAACTAGAAGACAGCACTGGCATGAGAACAAGTAGACAAAAATAGGCTATGAAAAAATGTGGGCTGCAAATGAGAAACAATCTTTCTGTGAAAGTGAGGTTCTGGAATAACCTGCCAAGAAAATTCCCAATGACTCTTAAGATGGACTGTGATAAATTAACAAGAGAGACTTTATGACTCAGTGCTTGTCACTGCTGGGAAATATGACGACTAGGAGATCCCCTCTAGCCCCACATTCCTATTGGTATGATAACAGAGGAATCTGTGTAGGGTGCAATAAATGCTGAATCACAGAGTGCTTTATCTAGCTGCCTGGCGGGACAAAGTCCTTCACACCCGTCCTGTCTTCAAGAACCTCCAGGAAAAAAAAAAAAAAACCACAACAAATCAAAGCCCCCCTCCAAAAAAAAAACCAAAAAACCAAAACCAAAACCAACGAAAAACCAAAACCACCAACCTTATGTAAATGATTGTGCTCTGACAGCACAAAGCATACAGCTACCAATGCCTGAGTTAGAAGAAAACCAGCTGAGCTACAGGCTCCTCTACACAGGGGAAGGGTGGTAGTGTGGGTATGAAAGCAAGAAGCCTCACTGTAAACAGAGAGGTACACACTCCAAGGTGAATGTGCTCCAGCAGCTTCAATATACTATTTCAATGTGGGAAAGAAACTCAGTACTTGGAACCATGTGGTGCTATCCCATGCACTTGCTCAGCCAAGTGTGTGCAGGGATCATGTCCACAGGGCATGACCATGTAATGTAGCGGAAAGTTCCCGCAGTTAACATCAACTGCTAAAACATCCACAGTTCTCCCACTATCCCAGGATACACAATTCTTTAGATGGTGTTTTCTTTCCTGTCTCCTAGGAGTTCCCCAAGGATGAGATCACTTTCTGCAGGACAAGGCCAGCAATCAGGATGCAGCTCACACTGATGCCTCACAACTGGATATTTACAGCATTGCCACTCTGGCTTTGAGAGCAGACCTTGGGGTAACAGCAGCAGCTGCAGTTTCGGTAGTACATAACTAGAAGTAGAGGCCAAGCAGAAGACAGCCATGAAAAACTGGGTAAGGTAAGAAATAGGCCCCGTTTCTGGGCTCAGGAGAGTAACACTGCTCAGGAGGAGAGCACTTCTCCACAGCCCTCATGGCTGTTGGACTTGAGGAAGAGTTTTCTGAGGCTTCTTCCAGACCTGTGGAGGTCATACAGATGTGGGTGCTTCCTCACCTTCTCAAAACCTGCAGCACAGGCTACTTGAAGCCATTGGGCCCCTGTCTGCTGCTCCCCACTGCGTCACAGGAACATACCTGCACAGATGTGGCATCACTGTACAGCCACTGTCTCCATGGCTTGCACAGTCTGGTTACTCTGGGCCAAGGACACCTGAGAGTTTTCCCTCTTGCAGTACTTTCAAACACACATTATTTCTAATAACTACCCCTGGTATCAAAGCTCAGAGCAAGAGGTTCCCACAGATCCCAGCTTCTAACACCAACACAAGGCAGTGGGGAAACTTCCACACCAACAGTCAGTACTCTTGTCTCAGAGAGCCTGGCTTAACCCCTCTCTGCCATAGCTAACAAAGTGCTTTTTTTTTTTTTTTTTTTTTTTAAACCAGGCAGCTCAATCACAATCAAGACCAATGTTGTTATTTCCTAAACAGCGGCAAGCTGACAGGGGAACAGAGGCAGACTGAGCAATGGCAGGTGGTTGTGGCACAAGAGCCTCAAGGCTTCCTGCCTTCCTGGCTCTTGCCAAGCTCCAGCAAGCAGGCACACAGAGACATCTCATACCAGCTGTGACTTGTCCCTTCCTAAACAGCCAAGAGCAAGGAAAGGACCCAAAACTTAAAACAGGATTTGAGGTGTGGCCTCATCAGTGCCAAACACAGGAAGATGATCGCTGCCCTAGTCCTGCTGGCCCGCACTATTTGTGATAGTGGACACTCTTGGCATCCACATGCCATGCAGTTTTCAGGTGGTGGCTGCAAGACACCACACAGAAAAGCAATTGCCTCAAATTCCAGTGATGAGTTTCCAAATAACCCATAGGTTCAAAGTTCTGCAGAGAGTTTTTTCTGCATTCATTTGTGGATTTTAAGTTAATTTTTATATCAGCCGCTTCCAGGTGGGGTCATGGTTGATCATCTCCTTTGACCTTGCTGCAGTATTTCCCAGCCCCAGAGCAAAGTGCTGTTCTAAATATGCTTGGGCGGTGGGGAAAAGTGGTTTTGCCCCACAGTTAATAGGGTCCCCGGAGCATCCCTGTCCCACCCATTGTCCCAGCGTGGGGATGCCGTGGGATGCACCGCGTGGGGCACTTGGTGTATGCCGGCGTACCCGGTGTGGCACCAGCAGCACCTACTGCGAGCGCTGCAGAACTGCAGGCGGATGGGAGGCGACGGGGACAGAGCTCCCGAGTCCCAGTGCAGGGAGCCCCCGGGTTCCCGGGTTTGCCCCGGCCAATGCATTTCACAGCGACGCCAGAGCCGTAAGTGCTCAGACAGCCGTAAAAGAAACCGAAAAAAAATGGTTTCTATTAGCAAAGAGTGACCAAAAAAAAAAGGATTACCTTCTGTCTAGAGTGTTTACATTTTTAGAAGCAAAGAGGGGCTATGGGAATATTGTTTCTCATAAGACTATTGGATTTGGTGATGTGTCCTTGATGCAAGCTTGGAAAACCGCAGAGATAACAGGGGGGAAAAAAGGTGACACTGGTGAAGGGACACAGAGGTGAGGGATTTCACCATTGTAATGGCTAATAGAGAGGGCAGTGCTAACATGCTTTGTTCAGAACTGGGATAGCGATTTCTCTGAAACCTGCCCTTTTAACAAAGTCTTTCTCCAGAGGGTTTTTATTGCACTGAGTGTCAGGTCTCAGCGTCCTAAACTCCTGTGGAGGCAACGATTTGCTGAAATGCTGTCACAAATATCCCCCAAAAGGCATGCACACTGGATTTACTGTTCTTGGTATTTCTATGATAAAAATTAAACAGAGCATATTAATTTAAACAAACCTTATTCCAACTACATCATCCATACAAAGACATACAGAAGGACACAAGCCCCAGAAAACAAGGTAAAAAAAGAAAAACCTTTCCACATCTTCCTTTACAACTGTTAGCTTACCTTTCTCTTCAGCTCTGACCTGAGTCTCACCTATGACCATGCACCTGAACGATACAAAATGTAAAGACACCTCCTGGGACATCACCTTTGGACTCAATTTTCTCACTCACGTGCTACAAAAACCGCACCAAAATCCAAAAGGTTCCTGTACAAACCCCACCCCAAGGTCTTTGCTTTGCCCAAGAGCAACACGCCCCAGGTGAGTGGCAGCCTGCAACTGCTTCTGCACCTGGCTGGGTGTGATGCCAGTGGGAGGCTCTCTATCAGCAGCCTCGGGGGAAGGAAGGAGTCCTCTCTCTGTACCTATGCTGTGTGCAAGAAGCCATGTGTGTTCATGCTGCTCCCTGCCAGTGCAAATCACCCAGTTCTCACAGGGAAAGCCCTCTGAGGTGATGAAGTGTGGGCTCTCACAGGCCACCCAGCCCCAGTCTTTCCACTGCCAGCACCAGGAACGACAGAAGTGCCAAGTGTCTCTGCCCAGAGCAGCCAGGACAAAAGCACAGCCACCTCCCTGAGTGCTTCCAACCCACTCTCAGCCAAACTCAGTCTGCAGTCATGGCTGATCAGGCTGGAGCTGACACTGCAACCCAGAACGAGGCAAGGTTTATTCCTGATCCCCAGATTCCAGAAAAAGGTACATCCCCCAGAATGACGTGCAGCTTCAGCATTGCTGAAAACATGCAGTGTTTCAGGGGTGGGAGGGCACTTGCTCCTGGGGCAGGGGTGCTCCCAGTCACACAAAGGTAGGTTTCAGATCGTCTTTGAAGTTCACCACAGGCTGGGGCCCACTGTGGTGCTCTGCCTGGTGGTCCATGCAGTCACTGGGCTCTGTGTCCGTGTCCGTGCTGCTGCTGTCCAGGGAGCCACGTGGGCTCTGGAAGCAGACCTCGCAGCAGGGCCGGTGGCAGCCATGAAACATCTCCTCAGAGCTGCTGCTGCTGCTGGAGTCAGAGTCTGGGTAGTAGTACAGTGAGCGCAGGGAAGGCTCAGCAGGTCCCCTTGGGGTGCCCTGCCACCGCCACTGCTCCTGCGGGATGCACGATGAAGCACCCTGGGACTCTGGCCATCCTAGCCACCCCTCTGGCTGAAGGCAGACCTCCCTAGGGATGGCTGGAGAGGATGGTGCTGGGGGGTGAAGGAACCCTCTGCCAGCTATCTCCCCTTCCCTTTCCAGGGACATGTGTGCTGACTCCCCATGGATCCAGTTGCCCACTTCCTTCACCCTGTGGTTGGCACGAGGGGATACATGTCCAGGGAAGTGGGTGGAGGCAGGGGGCAAAGGGACTCTCCGATGGTGCCTCGCCAGGTAGGGGCTGAGGGGTGTGTGGATGCCTGGGTAGCCGTCCTGGCCCCCCCAAATTTCTCCCTGGTCGCCTGGGGTGCCCCGGCTGCCAAGTGGGGGTCCTGCAGGTAAGGCCGGGCTGTAGTTTTTGCCATCCAGGCTTAGCTCTTGCAAGATTTCCCACAGCTTCTCACTGTTTACATAGCTGACTTTGGGGGATGACTCCCAGGCTACACCACCTGAGTTGGCCTGGCCTGGCAGCTGCTCCGGAGGCTGCCCCTGCTCTGCAGGTGTCCCACACTCCTGGACGTCTTTCAGGCCACGTTCAGTGCTGCCCCCTGCGTTAAAAAGCAGCACCTTAGAGCAAACAGGCTCATGGGTTGCGTTTTCCTGGAGGGCCTGAGGATTGCTGCAAAGAGGCGGTGTAGGCAGCGAGCAGGGAGGCTGCCACCCATCCCTCTCTGGATCCGGGGGGCAGCGGTCCCCTGGTGCATCCCCATGCCCCCCTGAGCTCCAGGTGCTGGGAGCTGCGGGCAAGGCACGGGGATTGCAGCCGCTCTCCGCAGACATCAGCCTCATCAGCTTCTCCTTGGCGCTGCTCACTTGCTCCTGCAGGCTTTCAATCACGGCGTTTTTCTGTGTCAGACAAATAAGCCTGTCAGGCACGGGGCAGGCAGAGGGTATGAAAACACTGCCAGCTTGGAAACTGGCATTGCTAGAAAACAAATCGCCCCTCTCTGCATGGCAAGAGCCACACTGGCAGCCTGTGTGACCTCATCCTCCCCTGAAGGCCTCCAGATGGGAGTGCGGGAAGGGGGTCACTGGGGCAGGCAGCTCTCCAAGCTGGGGTGCTTCCACTATGCAGTGCAGGTGAGAGAACAGTAGGCTGGGGGCTTTTCTGAAACAGAGCATCTGCCCTCTAAACTAACCAGGTTTGACCAGGCTGTGGCAACCAGGCTCTCCTGCACTTCTCCATACAGATCTTTTTTTTAAACCCTCCAGATTATGCCTAAATTTTGGTGCTTTGGAGTGCAGAGTGATGTGACAAAACAAAGCAGCTCTTCCCGTCAGGAAGAAAGAGGCTGGTGAGGGATCGCCAGTGTGGATGGGGGTGTAAAAAAGGGCTTCCCACCCTGCAAAGCCTTCAGCCCACAAAAAGGAAGGAGAGAAGCTGGTGTGGTTGAGGGGGCCTGGCAGAGCCCTGTACCTCGGTGAGCAGCCGCTTCATGGAGTTCTTCTCCCCTATCAGCTGGTAGAGCTGCTCCTCGCTGTACACCGAGCGGCAGCTCCTGCTTGGGCTGGTGAAATATTTTGCCATGTGGCTCACAGTTTGGCTTTCTTCTTCAAAGGCTTTCCACTGCTTGAGCTAGGGAGTAGAAGAGGATGTTATCTGCAGAGCCCCTGCCAACACAGCGGGAGGCAGGCACAGCTCAAGCGCGAAGGAGACAAAGGGACTTGAGAGGGGGAGACAAAGGCAGGGTGTGACAGGAGAGCAGAGACCAGTGGCAAGAGATGGCTGAGCGAGGGGCTGCAGTGACACTTGGAGCCTCCCACCCATCTGAGCCCTACCCTGTGTCTGGCTCCAGCTTTTAATGCAGGAGGCAGTGCCTGTCTGCACTGAAACCTCTAAGCACGCTGTAAAAGCCCCCTCCCTCTTCTCCCCCCTCCTGACTCTGTGACAGACAAAGACAGTGTCACGCATGCCCCCTTATCCCTGAATCACTGGTGACAGGCTGAAAACCAGTAATGCTTAGTACCTATTTTCTCATCTAGTGTCTACATGGAAGCCTTGTGCAGCCCAGCTCCAGCTGCTTATTGATCTCAGATGAGCAATAGAAAAGCAAGCCCATTAGGAAAAACAAGGTAATGAATTAAAAGATCCAAGTTAAATAAAATGTTCAAGGGCCCCAGGCTCCCACAGAAAAATGGTACAGGCAGAGTGCAAGTACAGTTCATCAGCTCCTCTGCCCTCAGTCTGAGAGACCTGGCACTTGGCAAAGCATCGCCAGCAGGTTTGGTGCTTGTCAGAGGGAGATTGGATCCTTGCTCCCAAAGGCTGCTCATCTAAGGGGTTGGGACTCTGCAGTTACACTGCCTCAACTGAGGTAGGAAGGGACCTCTGGAAATCATCTAGTCCAAACACCCTGCTCAAGCAAGGTCAGATGGAGCAACCTGCCTAGGACTGTGTCCAACCGGGCCTCGATTATCTCCAAGTATGGACGTCTCTAGGCAATGTGCTTCAGTGCTTTACAACTTTCACAGAAAAAAACAACCTTTTTCTTATGTTTAAATAGAATTTCCTGTGTTTTATTTTGTGCCCATTGTCCCCTGTCGTGTCAGTGGACACCACTGAGAAGAGCCTGACTCCCCCTTCCCTACTCCACCCCCCTTTGGTATTTATATACATTGCTGAGATCCCCTGAGCCCTCCCTTGCACAGATGTGTTCTTTCTTCAGCTTCACCTCTTCCTCCCTTTCTCACCTCATGTCCTTGAGCCCAAACATCCCTTCAGACATTCAACTGAGTAAACAACTGTTTCCTCTCCCTGTAACAATGGGAGCATTATTCCCAATAACATGGTGGCCAGGCACACTAGGCTGCTCCTCGAGGACATGGGAAGCAGAAGAGCCTCACCTCACCCCAAAAGGCTTCCTCACTCGTGGCAAAGCTGAGCTTCCTTCTCTAAAAGCACAAAGGAGGACAGCCTCCCCTGGGGATCACCAGCAGCAGAAAAGTCTCTGAGCCTGGCAAGGCCATCTGGATGGCCTGAGCCCAGCTCCATCCCTGCCATGGACAGAAACTTTCTGTGGGAGTGGGCATGTGAGGTATGAGGAGAGGACAAGCGCATGAAGAACAGATCCCACCACCCACATGGGAGGACAAAACCAGCGACTGCCTCGCCTCCACCTGTGCTCTCTGCATGGCTGCCACCTGTGGCACACTGCTGCAGGAAGGTTCTGAGCAGCAGCTCTTCAACACACCTGCACTCCTTGGAAACCTTCCAGGACTTAAAAGGGGCCTACAAGAAAGCTGGAGATGGACTTTTTACAAGGACACATAGGGATAGGACAAGGGAGAATGCCTTTAAACTGAAAGAGGGTAGGTTTAAATTAGATAAAAGGGAGAAATTCTCCACTATGAGAGTGGTGACATACTGGAACAGGTTGCCCAAGGAAGTTGTGGATCTCCCATCCATGGAAGTGTTCAAGGCTAGGCTGGAGGGGGCTTTGAGTAATGTGGTCTAGTGGAAGGTTCCCTGCATATAACAGGGGTGTTGTAGCTACATGATCTTTAAGGTCCCTTCCAGCGCAAACCATTCTGTGATTCTGTGATACTCCAGGAATTTGCTTGGGGAAGCAGAGCCATGGGGGGGCTTGGAAGATGAGCTGTGCAGGTGAGCCCAAACATTTGGGGAAAAAAGCAGGAAAGTAAGTGCTTTGGCCCACAAGGCTGCTGTTGTTAAACTCTGAAAATGTGCCTGTTTCCAGCCAAGTGACAGGACAGAGGTGGAAGATACCTGTGGGACAAAGATGAAGCAGTTGATCGTGGTTGTACACACAAAAATTCCTCCAGAGGTAAAACCAAACAGCAAGTTGTGCCAAGTACGGAAGAAACGATGAACTAAGCAGATAGTGCCAGCAGCCAGGAAAACAAGGTTGACCCCAACGATGAGTGTCAAGGACTGGTTGACTGGTGAGGAGCTGACACTGTCGGTCAGACCGGCCAAGTAGGTCCCGTACAGCAGGAGAATACTCTGGAAGCAGAAAAAAGAGGTTTCCAGAGTGTGGAAAATTACAGCCTGATGGTGTCAACCCCCACTTCAAACCAAGCCTGGTGAGCTCAGATACACTCAGTGCAATCCTAATTAATGCTCTTTGATCTATAATGCAGACCTTGAGTGCGCGCTGGTGATGCCGCAGCAAACGCCTGGCACACTGCTGGGGGCCAGAAGTGGGGCTGGGGAGAAAGGGCAGGAGGGAAGGTGCCAGTCGGCACCAGGAGTCCCAACCAAGCTGTGTGAGATGAAGGTCAGGTCAGCAGGTGATGCCACAGAGCAGGGGATGGCCAAGAGAGATAAGACACAAAACCTGCCCCTTGGGCAGCCTGGAGCAGGAGAAGCAAAGACAGACAGACAGACAGACAAACAGGAGACAGAGGTCCCTGCAGGGATGCAACAGTGGGGTGCCGTCGAGGAGCAATGACATACCTCTAAAGGAGCAGGAAGGATGTTCAGAAGGACATTCAGAAGAAAAAGGCAAGAAGAAATGGAGGTTTAGACTGGAGGAAAGAGGATGTACTTGTTGCCTCTTTAAATAGCAATCCAGGAAACTACCAGGTGCAATTCTTCTCCCTTCCCTTTGCTGTTTCCTGACTTCAGCAGAAGGGAAAGGCACTAGAGAAGTGCTCTGTACACAGAGGAACTGCCCCCCCCCCCCCCGAGCAGATCAGTTGTTTCAGAGCAGGCTGCCTCACCACACTGGCCCTCAAGTGTCCCCTAAATGTATCTTTCCAAGATAGTTTAGTCTTTTTCAAGATTAAACTATCCAGCAGGATGAACCCTTCCTTCTCCAGGGGACACTGGCAGGAAACACCAAGTATCTTTTGCCCACCTCCATAATGCAGGCTATGGTCTGCCTTCAGGATCATTCCGAAATAGTATCTAACAAAATCCCAGCACCTGCAACAGCCCAGAATACAGAGAATATGATTTAAACTATTCCTGTGCTACCTAGTAAGTGTAACTGTGTCTGCCTTAGTTTACTAAGAGTCATTGTTACTTGGGCATCAAGAAGTGCTTTGTGACCTGAGTGCAGATGTTTTTTAGACTCTTCTGGACCCCTCTGTGCTGTGGCTGCTTGATGATCATGATGACCACTGCCAGGGTTAAGGTCTGGAGGGACAAGGGCAAGAGAGGTTCATGTCCACAGTCTTTGGTGAGACTTGCAACTTCAGAGCACCACAAATTCTCAAGGCGGGGTTGTAATAGTGAGACCTGCCTCACTGGGAACTAGGCCGACACCTGACTCTGCCTTGTAGAATGTGAATTGGATCATAACCATGTCCACCATGGGGCACCTCCAAATGGCCCAAAGGCAAGTCAGCTTCTAATCCCTGAGCAAGAAAATAATCAGCACCAAAGTCCCATTTAAATTCATACAGTCTATCTGGGACACAGACAACAACACTGCCATCTAGTAAACTAGGACTTTCAGTAAGCACAGGACTAAGTGGTTTGTTTGTTTATTTTAATCTTGAGCAGGGAATTTTGCTCCTAATTCCAGGCATGTCCTTGGCAAATCATTTCTGTTCATTGCTCTGTTCCAGTAAAACCAGGATAATACACTGAGTGGCTTCCCAAAGGGCTGAGCACATTAATGCTGTGGATGCTAAGAATTGCTATGTATGCACACATTAGTGTAAATCCAAATTAACTCCAGAGAAAGTACTAAGGAAATAGCTCCACAACCCCCAGCAGGCAGAAGGGGACAGGGTCAGATACAACACAACACTAAAAAATATTACTTGGGACAGATAGTGGGGATGTTTTATTTCAGAAAGCATTTTGTAGGAACTGTAGGCGAAGACATTACTTGTCTAAACCATAACAAAAACTGCAGACGAAATCAGAGGTGGAGACACAGCACTGAAAACCCAGAGAATACCTACATTCAATACCAAAGGACTTCTAAGGACAGGCTACACTAATGTCTTTGAAATGAAGTGTAGAGAGGAGGACTTGGCTGTGTTGTAAGGTCCCTTTCTGCTCTTTTTCCTACAATTTTGGGTAGATGGTCAGTGAGTATTACATTACAGTGAATCACAAAGGAACTGCCGGTACTGCACAGAGATGAAGCCATTACTGAAGAAAGGCTGTGATCTCACAAGCTTCATCAACATCAGCTTTCTGAAATGTGTCCAGCTTCTGCCATACCAGAGACACATGAGACCACAGATAATTACAGCAGTAATTACAACTACATAGTTACATCGGTATAACTAACACTTCTGGAATAAGAATGGCCATGTGCAGAGCTCCACCAGTGAAAGTCCACCCCAGTGGTATAATTAAGTCGATAAACATCCTGTAAAGGCAGGGAGCAAACACTTGTCATCAGCACCTCCTTGGTTTGGAGTCAGAGGACTCAGGGACTGAGCCACATGGTGCACCACTGCACTGGACAGCCTTCTGAGGCTTTATAGAAAGAGTGCGCTTTAGAGAACAGCAAGACATGAGTTTTAAGAAGTGAGATAGATGAGGCACAGGGGGTTGCAGGGAGGGAAATAGAGAGACTGTATGTGCACTGTGTACAAAAAAGAGGTAGTGAGGCAGGGAAAAAGTGGTTTACAGGGCTTTTACCCTTTCTAAGATGGGACGGACTGGAAATAGGAGGGCTTTTGAGATGAACAGGAGTAGCTGGAATCTGCAACAGGCCTGTAGCTTGGGAGAGCAGCGAAAAAACAAATGCTGCTAAACAGTTTACGTTGTAAGACAGAGAGTTATAATTCAAGAATCAATCGAGAGGTTACCTACCTTAAACCCTAAAATGAGAACGAGCCAAAGATCAGAATAGAGCGATGCACAGGACTGCACCCGGCTCATGGAGCAGGTCATGCCTTTCTCTGTCACCTAGAAAGCAAGGGAAAGACTGAAGTGAAGGCTGCAGACTGAGAGGCAGACACATCTAAGCTGGTCTTCTCTGCAAATGTCTAAAAGGATAGGCCAAAGCTGGTGCTACCAGGGGCAGAAGGTTAAAGCAAGGAAGATTTTGGCATTCTGCTGCCAACAGGGCTGGTTAAACATTTCTCTAAAGCATAATGCAGGTGCCATGGACCTCTCCCTGTGTCACCCATGTGATCTGCACAGAACTGGAAATTTTGCAGTGGACCCTCACCTCTGTAACAGACTGAACAAAAACCCAACCCAGAGTGACCAGAAGTTTTTCTGACTTGTTTTTCTTTCCATTGTTTTTCAAACAGCATCTCCAAATGCCTGGCCATCCACCAACTTTGTCCACAGAGTTCAGACAGAACATGGCAAAACCCTCCACCACCCCTCCTCATCCCCTTACCCGCAGTGAGACACCGAGGCTTCGGAAGCACTGGACTGGATCGGCAAATACCCACGTCAAGAGCAACACAGCATCTGCCAGCACCAATGCTGCCACCATCGCCAGCAACTGGAGGTCTTTGATAATCTGCAAACACACAAGAAGTAAAAGGTACTCTGGGGAGCAAATGGACACCAATGACCTCCATCCCCTTGGGTCCCTTTCTAGTTGTTTCTTTCAAGCAACATGTCTATCCTACTACTTCCCCCAGAGGGGAATCCAGTGGCTCACCTACATCAGAGTTGGCCACAGAATCTCTGTCTCCAGCTCCCAAACTCTTGGAGACCTAATCAGGCTTGGGGCAAGCATAAACCCTCCCTGATGGTGTGGATAGCAGGTACATGCTGTGACAGAAAACAGTTCCTCCAAGACAAGACTATCATCCCTTATGTCCATATCACCAGCAGAGACAGAAAGGGTGGGGAAAAAAAGCCAGTAGTATTATGATTTTGAAAGTTTAACACAGATCCTGGTGCATCAGGAATGGGACTCCTTGCTGGTACCCAGTTCCCCTGCAAACCGTCTCATCTCACCTTTCATCTGAGACCTACTTTTTCACCACTGGAAAGTGACCACTGAAGGCTCTAAGTTACATGCACTGTTACGTGAACAAATTTCCCATTTCCCTCCCAGCTGCTGATTCCCCTTCTTTAAGTGCTGCAGAGGAGTGCCTAGTGCTCCCTCCCTCCCTTCAAGTGATGAGATGCATCTGGGGATGGCCCTACATGAGATGCTTTTGAGGATACCTGGTTTATTTTCATCCCACAAAAACAAGCAGCCCAGCCCAGGAAACAAATGTAGTTTAATGAAGGTATGGGGCTGACGTAAAACAAGACCAAGACCTTGCTCAGTGATGGGGCTGTGACTCCACAGGGGAACAGGCAGCCTGGCAGGGCACCCGCTCACCTGTGGAGTGGAAAAGCTCTTGCCTCATTGCTCAGGAATAAATGAGGGGCCCATGCACAGCTAGGCATGAAACGACCTGTGATTGTGGCATCCATCACTGTCCTGTGCCAGTTTTTATCTGCTGTTCCACACTGGTTTTTGCTGGTGTTTGCCCTCCTCGGGAAGTTCTCCCCCCTCCCTTCCCTCCTCGGGTGCTGTGTACTCACCACCCGCTTGTCTGGCACCCTTTGGGTGAACACCTTGTAGAGCCGCCAGCTTTTCCCCAGGACAGGGCCAAACACCAGGGAGGTGCCCACGCACAGCAGGCAGAGCCGCACCTGCCAGAGGGTCAGAGCAAGGAGGCTGAAAGAGGGGCTCGCAGGGACACCCCACACCCTCCCACCCAGGGGTGCAAGAAAGATGGGTGGGGATATGTCTATGGTCTTCTGGCTTCTGGAAAGTCATATCAGACATTAGAAAGCTGACCATAGAGTGAAATAAATTAAAAGGCACATACTCCTCTGCAGGCATGTCTGCTGCCTGCCTTTTCCTCCCCATCCCGAGAGACTTTCATCAGAGGACCAGGCAGGGAGAGCCAGGCAGCTTGTGAGCAGCAGGGACATGGTAGGTCCCAGCACCAATAAATCACTTGCTGGCACCTCCGTTAATTATCCTCAGCCCAGCGGCTGAGCAGGACGCAGGGTGTGCATTCTCCCACGTCCCACTCTCCCACATGGATGCATGCCCAGCCCTCGGTCTGGCAGGGCGGCTGCCTCAGGTCAGGACTTGGGGGTGCATCACACAGGTGAGTGTTTTGATGAGGATCTGCTCTGCAGCCAAAAAACTCACCTGCAGCCTCACAGCATCTGTGCTACTTTAGGCAGTGGTGGCTCTGTGGAGGATCCCATCTCCCTTCAGGCTCCTCTCTCCCTATGCACTTCTACAAGCCCAGCAGCCTGCCTGCCTGTGGGACCTCTCTCTCCCCTGGGGACCTGCTTTGAGTCCCTTCCTCAGTGCAGATGTGGTTTGCACAAACAGTGAAGGCCGTTCAGACAGAAAGCATCTGGTTGCGTTTTGTGTATGTGAAAACCACAGCCCGGCCACGTGCAGCCAGCAGCGAGGTGGTGACAGGCTGTGGCTAAGAGAACGCACGTACAAACAGGCATGTACATGTGCATGCATGACGGTACCCATCCCAGCAAACCCCCCACTCACCTGAATAAGCTTTTCCATGGAGTCTCCAGAAGGCAGGCTCTGCTCCTGAACCCCAAAGAGGTAAGCACTCGTGTAAGTCAAGCCACTGCCCAGCAGGGTCACAATGTTGAGATTGGGGCTGGACATCTTCACGATCCTCCAGGAAACAAAGCAAGGAAGGTGGTGACAGTTACTGAGCATCATGACCTGGCAGCACAAGGGCGAGGTCCCCTTACAGGGGCCACGATGGCCATAAGGGATGCTGACACACTGTCCATCCCCCAGCCTCTGATGTTCACAGCTGCTCAAAAAGCTCAGCCATTGCTCCATAGTGCATAACCCATCTTCTCTGCCGTCTTGCTGGAATGCTTCACTGTGCTTAAAGTACTCATTTCACTCTACCCCAACACTTCTGCTGTGGAGGGGCGGAAGTGGAAAACCACACCAGTGCACCACGTGGTGACTGTCCCCAGCTTTGGGTGCAACAGCTACAAGCGCCTTCAAGAACAGGCTCTTCCCACTGCTCCTTCCTCTGAGGAGATATTTTCACATAGCACAGTCTCAACTTCAGGAAGCCGCCTGCAATGTTCAGCTTACAGCCTCCCCTCTGTAATTTCACCCCATCACTCATAATCCTGTAACTGTATTCAGGGAGGGGAGAATCAACCCAGCGATCTCTCATGACCTGTCACCCTTCCCCAGCAAGCCCATCAAGCAAAAGCTGTAGCTCCTGCCATCCCCCTGCATAGCTCTGCCCCTTCAATCTGCTGCCAAGTCATTGCATTTCTCTACCCTTGAGCTCCTTCCTGGCTTGCTGCCTCACAAGGGATTCAACCTGGTCCTTTCCCTCCCTGACTTCCTTGCCATGCCTCAGCCCCTGGGGAAAGATATTCATCAGCTCACCCTCTCAGCTGCATGTTGAAAAAGGTCTCCTTTGCCCTCCCAGGTTCAGTAGGCAGACCAGTATTTATTTACTGCACAGCAAATAAATAACGCACATTCATTACAGTATGCTCTGAGAATATCTTCAGGGGCCTAAATAATTTGGTAATCAATTAAGGTGGCCACACTACTCAGTAAATTAAGTGCTTCAGATTGGGATGCAGGTCATGCAGATGCTGCAATGCAGCAGGCTCACAACACAAACCCTTATGGGGCAGGACCCTCCTGACTGCATAGTGCTTGTCAGAAGCATTAAGTTCCTTAATGCAATTAGAGAATCAGTTCAGGCTGCACACAGATGCACGTCTCTGTGCAAAACAATGGCACATAGAGACCAGGTGAAGCTTGGGAGAGGGATGTGTCTCTGGAGGAAAAAGCAGCTGAGAGACTAAGAGACCAATGAAGTTGAGGAGAAAGTGGCCAGGAAGCAGGCAAGACACTCAGAATTGCTGAGGAAGGGTCAGTGCTGGCTGAGACAGTTTGAGTTACAAGGAATTGTTGAGCCTTATGCTTGGATTTATGCTGTCTTCAGGGGAGCAGGAAATTTTACATCCTCTGTGCAGACTGAACAGCACCAAGGAAAGTCTGCACTTTACAACCAGCTTCTCTCACCAATGAAGATCATGTTCCACACTAATATGGGCAACTACCAAGATCAAAAAGGGGTAGCATATCTTCAAAGTATGAGTGGCCCAACAGCAGGAAGTGCACTGTGGGGGGAGCATGATGGGTTTGCCATGGAGCTATGCTGCTCAGAGTGATGCTCCCAAGACTGTGAGCAGAAGAGGAGACCTGTTCCCTTTCTGCTCACTCTTGTTGATGTTTTTATTGAATGGTACCTTTGGGATGAGAGTATGCACTACTGTCTGTGCCACGCCAGAGGGCATCCATAGAATCATAGAATCATTAAGGTTGGAAAAGACCTCCAAGGTGATCAAGACCAACCTTTGACCAAACACTACCATGTGAATTAAGCCATAGCACCAAGTGCCGTGTCCAGTCGTTTCTTGAACACTTCCAGGGATGGTAACTCCACTACTTTGTTGGGCAGAGCATTCCAATGCTTGACAACCTTTCAGTGAAAAAATTCTTCCTGATGTCCAACCTGAATCTCCCCTGATGCAGCTTGAGGCCATTTCATCTTGTCCTGTCTACAGCTCCCTACTTTGGAGAAGAAGGGAGCACTCCAAACAGGACTGTCTCCATCAGTGATCAATACTGGATGTGATGGAGAAAGCTGCAACAACCCTGGCATTGGCCTTGCTTGCCCCATGGTGTTCCTTCAGGTTCATACCTTCCTGACACTTAGCTGGTCATCAGCTCAAAGCCTGGTCCTGAAGGAGCCTCATTCCGCTGCTCCATTCCGCTCCTCATTCCCTCCACAGCAGAAGAGGGAAGCCCTTACCTGTTTTTCCTGAAGCGAATTGTGAAGATGAGAAAGAAGAGCGCTAGCAGGACTCCTCCAGTCAGGAATGTCCACACAACTCCCAGGAGACCAGCAGAGAAGGATGGGAAGCTCTTCGCACTGTGGTCAAAAGATGTCTGCAGGAGGCAAAAGGGGTGAGGAATAAGAGGACATTGCTGGGGCTTCCAGTGAAGGAGGTCCCTACTGTAGCATGATCACACCCATGGGTGCTCCTCCTCAGCCATAAACCACATATCCTCATAAGCAGACACCCCGGCACCTGACCAGGACCCGCAGGCAGGGCTGGTGAGATGTGTGTAGACAGGACACGTACTCTGCCACTTGCTGAGTGCACAGGAGGAGAGGGCAGTCCAGGAGCCCTCTTCTTATGGCCAACTAGCCAAATACGTAATGAAGCCATACAAGTGACTCACAAACCTCAGGCAGCCCTGGCTGTAGGAGAGAAGAACATGGGCAATGGTTCCCCACTGTCCTTCTCTGGAAAGAAACCTCTGCAGAGAGGTCTCATGGTACCCCAGCTCATAGCACTATTCTTTGGAAAGTCAGGTAGGGCATCCTTGGCTTCTGCCCTTACCCCTCCATGCAGCAGACAACTGACCAGCTGGCTGACATGACTGGGAGCCAGCAGCAGAGCTTCCAGTCGGTGCAGAAAACACAGAGAAGGGAGTGTGACAGCGTTTTTCAGAGGCATTACGCAGTGACACACCGAGCTGGGCTCCACCCGTCTCCAGCGGCTGGAAACTAACTGGGTCCCAGGCAGACATCAGCTGAGAACTGGCTTTTGAGGGACACTCCCAGAGCGGGTATGACAGAGGCACCTGTCTCCTGGCACATAAGCAACCTTATGGGTTTAAACCTCCATTTAAAAATATTCTCTGCTATCTTCCTATTAACATAAGATGGACAAAATGATCCTATGTGAAACAAGAAACTATTTCCACTGTGGATCTAAAATGCTCCAGTATTTTTAACAGGGTGTGCATGCGTGGGTTTGTTCACACATACTACGGGTGTGTTACTGACTTTTTTTTTTCTTTAAAAAAAGCATCACTTTTACTAAGGTAAAAGTGGAAGGGAGGAGAATGGGGTGTGAGCTGGGATCACGTGCCTCCTCACTAACTTCTCTGGTGCTGTCCTTTCTCAGACATGCCCGTTGACCTGCATGTAATTTCTGTGGCAGAAGACAACTTTTCCTGACAGTTGCCCCAAATTCCCAATTCTTTCTTCAAGGTCTGAGCTATTTCTGCTTCCAGCCTTGCTAGAAATAAATCTTCAGGGAGAAGTAAGGCAGTTGTTTAGAGCCAATGCCTCATCTCCCTCTTCCCAGCCAGGCTTTATCTCCTCTGGACAAGCAAGAACAAGGCACAACTTGGAGAACTAAAGCCAACACATAATTCTTAAAACAAAAACGTGTCACTGCCACACGAGCACAGCTGATCCATGGGCTCCTGGCAGCTCACATGCTGGTGCCATGCTGGTTGCAGGGCAACTGTGTAAGGCAAACCCCTGGATGGGAGAGACATCCAGCCAAGAGCCAATGCTGCTGCTGCTGTATGCTGGGATACAGCTGCATGCACACCTCAGCCTCGCTTTGCAACAGTGTGGAGGGATTCCTGAGGGGATACTCATATCCCTCTTGCAAACTGCTTCCCACCTCCTCTTCCCTCTCTCTATTCCCTGGGGAGTCTTTTGGCTCTCTGGGAAACCAGATGGTGGAGATGGTCAGCCACCCAGGGATCAGAAACACCCATATGATCTCCACCTTTCATTTCCCAAGGAACACACACCCTCCCACCTGACTGCTGTTTCCCTGGATGTTGATGCTGCTTGAAGTTGATGGAGCGCTTTGTTTGCCGCTGAGAGGAGTAAATCCTGGTCCTAGCAGGGGGAATATTAATTGTACAGCAGCTGCCAGAGCCAGAGGAGCCAAGCAGCTTAGTCTTCTAATTAAAGGCTCATGGTCGTGCAGGACGTGATGGAGAGCCGAGCGGGCCAAGCCTCACTGGCCCATCCAGCAGCCTCACATGGTGCCAACTGCAACTGAGTGCATCCCAGTGTCATTTCCACTGGCTTACTGGTGTGTGTGAGGGTACCATTTATTATAGATAATGACTTTTAATTAAATCATGCCCTATTCATATTTGAAAAGCACTTTGAAGTTGCAGAGGACAGGAAAGGTCAAGGGCAAATGGGGCCATTTCAGGCCAATCCTAAGCAGCTGTCACACTGGCTGACACACAGGGGGTTGCTTGACATGAGTTGGCTGTTGTGGATGCTTCCTCACTATCTGGTAACTGCTAGGTGTCACCTAGACTGGGCTTGTCTTAGAGGCCAACCAGCACGCTGCCTTTGGCTGGACTGGGATTACTTGTCAGCTGCACCCCCCTTTCCATCTCTCCACCCAAATCCACTTCAGCAGAGCAAACCTCATACCCCAGAGCACTTCCCTGCCTCCGTACATACCACTGTTACAGTGCAGAGCTCCTGCAGTGCCCGCTGCTGCTGGCTGTCAAAACTGGAGCTGCCATCGCAGAGCTCAGAGCAGTTGAATCCTGGCTCCATAGCACATCCTCAGCCGTTATCCAGCCGTACCTTAGCCCCTACTGGAAGGACAAGCGTTGGCTTTCTCCAGAGAGAAGAAACTTCCGGCATACACCGTATCTCCTCCTGTCAGCAGGGTGTAGTGAGGGGGTCTGGCAGGCCAGGGCTGAGCTCACCCAAACTGATGTGGTGCACATCCAGGGCCAGGACAGGGAGTGCCCACCTCCCGGTGTCCCTTGGGGTGTCCTCTGCAGCGAAGTGAGTCAGCATGGAACTTGGGTTCCCACGGAGCACGGTGGCATCCCGAGCACTGCTATACCAGCCTGCAAAACAACACATGTTGAGGTCAGAGCAGCCCCCAACTCCTACACTCCAGCTGTGGAGCTGAAACCAGGTGCTGTGCTGGTCCGAGCCCGGGCGTGGCACCCCAAACTCGCTGCAGTTTTCTTCTGCCAATGCATTTTCCCACACCAGTGCAATTTCCAGGGTGCATCTTTGCAGATACCCTCCTTGTGCTGGCAGCAACTGCCAGTTTCCTGGCATGTCCCCTTCTTCCAGCAAGGAACCAGAAGAGTGTAGACAACAACAAACAGTAACAAGTGTCGTCATTGCTTAATAGGATCTACACCCAGGCCTGGGCGAGCAGCAGGGGAAGGCACTTGAACCAAAGCATTTTGGCTGACTCGGCCTGAGTGGCAGCCCAGCTAGCTGAAGAGCTGGCTGTTCATTAAGGAGATTTAGAAGCCTGACACCTCCATGTTCCCCATCCCTCCTGGTGCTCTGGCTGCCAGGTATTGTCCCCACCTGCTCCTGCTCCCTTCGCACCACCTCTGCCTCTGTTCCCCTTTTCATTTCTCTTTCTGGTGTGGATTTTAATAGGCCTCATTACCATTTTAGACATGAGGTCATACTTGTCCTCAAGCATCCTTACTCAATTACCATTGTCACCAGTTTTAATTAGCTTCCAGCGCACGACCATAAGCAAGTCTCCTGTCGTTAGCAGTTGGGGAGGAAGCACAATAGCTCACTTCCTACTTGCTCCTCACAACAGGTGGGAGGAAAAAAATTATCCTTATAATGCTCCTCGGGGCTGCTCCCTGGCCAAGCATGCCATGTGCCTGGCTAGTGCTCCATCCTTCTCTCTTCCTAATCCTGACACTTTGATTCCCTCTCCTCATAAGTCCTTTTTTTGCAAAAACTCCTGTCATCATGTGAGCAAAGAAAGAGTAAACTAAAAAGAAGCACAGTCACCAGGACCTCGTCTGAAACTTGGTGTTCGTCATGGGGGATAATCAGGATTCAAACACCAGAAAAGCTACAGGAGCTTTTCTCAGGTCAAGCATAGACTGATTTTTCAGCTTTAGAGAAGTTACAAGTCCCAGTCGAAACACATCAAGGTCAGCAGGCTACTTGACCCAAATTAGCAGACCCCCCTCTGAAGCAACAATCCCAACTTTCTCACTGGCAGAAGCCTCGATGTACCACAGGTCTGGACACAGTCCTGCCTGTCCCAGAACTGACCCCAGTGTGAGATCAACTTTCTGTGTCCTACAAACACAATATCAAATGAGCCAGACTTATGACTTTACACACATGGTAGAGACATTTTTCAAGAGCGCTGATACAACCCAGCTCCATCAAACCTGCCTCTCTAGCTTGTAGCAAACTGCAGTGGTGTTTCCCCTACAGCAGGATCACTCTGTGGGGGTTTTCATGCCCTCCACGGCTCAGGCTGAGTGATCGGACAAGGGGTATGGCTGCAGGAGATATCCAGCTGCTGCAGTGGATGCCAGGATTGCAACAGTGGTAAAGGGCAGTGGAGAGAAGGAGACAGGCTCCAGCTGAACAGTTCAAAGAGAACAATGGATAGTGTGGAGGGGCCGCGTGCTGTGCCCGGGGATGGCAGCAGGAGAGGGGCACTGAACCTTTGTGAGGAAGACCTGAAGATGAGCACTGCCCAGCCTCCAAAGGGCTCAACTTCTCCCCATGCCCTCAAGTGGGTTTAAAGACAGCCCCTACAATTCCTTGAAACCTTGTGCCATATCAGAGAGGGAACCTACCAGGTGGACCACTACCAAGGCTGGCATGAGGCCAGCAGGCACAGCCCTCCCATGGCTCACAAATGGACATGTTTCCACCAGGAGCATCAATTCAACCCTCATCCACCTAGGAGACCATCCCTCAGTGGAAGGTAAAAGCCCTTTGGAGTCTTCCCAACCCCCATCCCACCATTCTGCAAAAGGCTCCCACACAATGTTGATAACAAGCCGAGGCCAATTAACATTCATTAGTATGCAACAAAGCAAGCACTAGTGTGGTTGTTGCTGGAAGGCAACAGGCATTTCCAGCCCAGCTCCTGCCTCTCCTGAGAGCTGGCAGGAATGCTGCTCCATGGCCATGAGAGGATCCAAGGGGGACGGGTGCAGAGTCACTGACCTTCAGGGTGAGGTTGGACAATGGTTGTGGGGACAGACAACAACACAGGTAAAAACTTACTTCCTTAAAATGTGAGGGTCTCTTTAGGGCAGAGACCTATGGGGTTTGTTTTTTGGGGTTTTTTTTTTAGACCAAAGTGCCAACCAAATCTGATGGATCACTTCCACAGCACAATCAGAGAATGGTTTGGGTTGGGAGGGATCTGACAGCTCTGTGCCCCCTTCTGCCCTCAGTCTCTGTGGCAAGACAGCTGCTGGCTGTTTGGATCATAGTGGCTAGTACCTGATCACAGCTGAGCATCAGCATGTGTGTGGATGTGATCCAACAAGCCTCAAGTTGGTAGGAAACAAGTGACTAGACCACATGAAAAATATCACCACCATCATCTTCTAGAATAAAAAGGAACCCCTGACTGTTAAAACCAGTATTTGGATAAAAGCAATTTGCAGTCATCTTAATGGTTGATCTTCAGGGCTGGAAAACCTGTTTCTTTAGATCCATCAAGACTCAGGATTACTTATCATATAATTGTTAAGGTTGGAAAAGACCTCTAAGATCATCAAGTCCAACAATTAACCCAGCACTGCCAAGCCCACCACTAAACCATGTCCTTAAGCACCACATCTACGAGTTTTTTGAACATTTCCAGGGATGGATATAGAATCACAGAATCATTAAGGTGGGAAAAGGCCTCCAAGATCATTGAGTCCAATATCTACCAATGTTAAGGAACTGCAAATTAACCCATAAACAGCCCTCAAAAAAGATGCAGTTGATGTAATCTAAATGCACATCTTGACTTTCTTAAAGTTTCTTCTTCCTTTCAAAACCTTTGTTTTGAAAAAATAGAGGAAAAAAACCTTAAAGAAGCTGAAAAACTGGTGCAGCGTTTATAGGCCCAGAGCAGACAGAACCACCTTTTCACCCCAACTGGTTCCTTTTGATCTAGTGTTGACAGAGAGACCTTTTCCTAAAGAACAAGGTGACATCACTGCTCAGTGAATCGAAAAGTGAAAAACTGAAGATGTCAAATGGCAGACAACAGAACAAATGCATTCAGAAATGTGCATGAAATGGTTTTCATGAGCTCTGCAATCCTGTCCAGTCATATCAGCCCCGACAGAGAAATGGTACAGGTACAACTCTGCAAGGGAAGAGCAGAGCACATCTGGAGAAGCATATCTGTTGAGGAGAACTTCTTGGGAAGGTGGCTCTCTGGCCAGCTGGAACCCACAACTTTGCTGTGTGCCAAAGGCAGAGAAGAACAACCAAGGGGAGGGAGTGATGTGCAGAGGAGAAAGCCATTCCTGCCACCTCAGGTGGGGAGCAGAAGATCTTGGCTTACCCTTGACGGGTCTGTGCTGCTACTGCCACTACTAGTGGGAGATGGTGATCTCCTGGTGGGGACAAGCCCCGGCTAGACAGGACACAAGGCTACACACTTACAGTGACAAGTCATCCGGATAACTGTTCCAGCGAGATAAACACCACGGGATGGGGTTTTGCAATTCAGAAAACACTGCACTTCTGAGATAGGCTCCTGCTTTTCTCTTCTGCACTTCTTGTCCAACAAGATCCCTTCTTGTTTGACCTGAGAAACCTGCAATATTGCCAACCCCAAGGCGATCAAAAAAGTCACAAGCTAGACTTAGTGCAACACCTCCCGCAACGAAGCTAGTTAAAAATCGGGAGCTAAAGCACACAGCATATCTAAAGATTATTTTTAATTTATATTTAAAATTTCAGCATTTACATTTTCACGCTTTCCCCTGCAAACACAAAAGGAAAAAGAAAGAAAACCAAGAAATCCTGCTTATCATGTCATCCTAAAATGTGGGTCACAAAGCCTCAACCCCCAGGAACACTGGGGAGTTGCAAAGTTGTTACCCTTGCAGCACCCTGCTTTTATCCCTGGGATTTCCAGAGCCACCTCCAGGCCTCTCAGATACCTTCATACCTGGCAGATGGACAGCTAGCTCAGTGCACAGGCACATGATAGGGCACATCACAGGGCCCAAATGGGGTCATCTTCCCACCCAGGCAGTGTCCCTGCCTATGCTGTCACTCCTTGACCCACACCCAGGGTATGGGAGATAACCACCAGGAGCTGCAGGACCTGCTGCATGCAAAGGAGGGAGATGCAGAACAAGGTGCTTCTGCCTCCAGATGCATGAGGAGCTCACTGTGTGACTCTGAAACATGAAAGGTTGTGCTGACTGAAGCTAGCTGTGATTTTGAAGTCTCCTACCATTTTGGATAGCACATCCTAACATCACAAAGGCAATAATTTCTCAACACCAATCTTACCGATCATCCCAACGCTGTATGTCTATCCATTGTAGGTCTTTCAGCTTGGGAGGATTGCACAAGGCTGGCACATTTAGCTCTGCCTCTAGTCTCTTTAACTTTTCAAATGCAGGTTAAATACCCATACGGCTCTTTTCAGTTCTGTGGTTTATGTTTTGGATTTAAAGAAACCTCCATGCAAAAAAAAAACAAAATCATTATTTTTTGAACCACCACACAGTCCTGCAAGGAGCTGACTCACACTTCTCCCTTTAAGGAGCTGATAAGGCTTTTAACTCTCTAACCATAATTGCTATACAATGATAGGCATGTGAGAAACAGCGAATAGACTGGAGATGCTCGAAGGAAGGAAAATTGGGAGAGAATACCAAGAGACATGGGGAGTGTGCCACAGATGATGGGGAGGTAAAACAATCCTTGGAGCTGCTGATGAGCAACTTTGTGCCACCCAAAGAGCAAAGCCCATCCTTGTGTCCAGCTATAACAGCTGCTGAGCAGCACATGGATGAAGTGAGCATAAACCTCTAGGCTGACTCCCCAGAGTGTCTCAGAGCCCAGGGGTTTGGACCCCACTGCCCAT